ATTAATTGCTGAATGATTGAAAATATGAGATGAATGTGTTAGGTAATGATATATACTTTTTATATTATTATTTTCATTTATTTACTTGGAGCCCTGGGGAGCAGTTGGTGGGGCATAAGCAGTGAGTATAAGCACAGCTTTAAAGAAGTGGGAAAAGTCAAGGCTATTGTAAGAACACTAGACTCAAATTAGACCAGTAGATAGAGCAGGCGATTTTTACACTGAATGTCATAACAAATTGAGAATAAAGGGGTCCAGGGAAAGACATTCACAGAACAAGGGTCCAAAAACCATCGTAGGGCTGAGAAAAACTATAATTGTGGCACCTCTAGATTGCTGGAAATGGCTCTCTTACACTTAAATTTGAATACAATTTTCTTTTATGTTTTCTCCATTCTTTAAAAAGAACTTAAAGAACTTAAAAAAATATGAAGGGGCACAGGTCAGCTGAGTCCCCCAGGGTTCCATCTTCAATCTGCCACTGATAAGTATTTACCTCTGACCTGGACCTGAGAAAGTTGTTTAGCTGCAACTGCTGTTGTGCGACAATGGTTTGACTGAACTCCAACACATGTTATTACTGCTTGGCAACCAGTTGCTAAGGCTTCACCTAGTAAGAACTCCAACTTCCGTACCTAATAAAAACATAAACTTATGACAGAGGGCGCTGATAAATTTGAATTTAAAAACAAGATGACTGAGAGAGACGAAGCAGAGGACAAATAATAAGGACTTGTCCAGACTATCAAATATTATTTGACAAAAACATGTGACATGCCTAAATATGGTCAGTTGATATTCAGGGGCAAACTTAAATATATGAAATAATGTGATGCAAGACATAGAGAGGGAAAATATTTTGAGTCATGAGACCCAGAACCCAGGAATCTGAAGGCAAAGCATTGTCACCACCAAGCACACCTCCACTACAATCTTAATCTTAATCTCTGATCACACATCAGCAGTGGCGACTCTAGGATATATTTTCTGAGCTTCCCAAATGAGATTTTTTTAAGAATAGGAACCTATGGATGGCCAGAAATGACACTTTCAGACTGTGACAGACATCTATTGGCTTGGTGTGGGCTATTTTTATATTTCTTTTTAGTTCAACGGCCCGATGTGCTCTGTCCGATGGGGGGGAGGGGCTTGACCAGTCCGGTGGGGGGCTTAGGCTCCTGCTTCCCCCTCCAACACTGACTATCAGGTGTGACAAATAAATGTGATATGTCCATATTTGGGTGTAATATGACATAATCATGCTCATCACACAAATTTGTCACAAAAAATTTGATAGTGTGGACACAGCTTTAAGCTCTGTTCACACTGTCAGGTTCTATGTGACAAATTTCAAGAAGAAAATTCCTGAATTTTTGTATTAAAATGAATTTAAATAATTGGAAATGATACTTTCTTTTATCTGTGACTTGATGTATTATTAAATGATCTTATTAATTTAAATAAATGTTGATATTATCAGTGTGACTAAAGCAATACAGGATTAGACATCTAACCTTGTTACCTGATAAAACAGATCCAGTCATGTCATCTCGCTTGATATAAATATCAACATCATCTGGTATATTTGGAAGACTCCATTTATGAATAGGTGTAAATGGCTGAAAAAGCTAAAAAACATTTAAATATCCCATTAATTGAGAAAATTAATTGGGTAACTGGCGACAAAGTGCTATCTATAGTGTATGCATTTGAAAAGTCTGTAGATTTACGTACATAAACTGATATTCAATTTTAAATTTTGAGACATATTTTGAAAATATTATTTTGATCTTAACAATTGAATTTGTTCCACAGGAACTGAATGTGTTTGAACTGGTCATCTGGCAAACCTACTGTATTCCCATCTTTTTAATAAACATTTCCTCGTAATAGAGGTTGGCTGTAGAGCTAAAAGACATTTTGCAAAAAAGTTTCCCTTTAATATTAAGAGTGCCCCAAAGCAGGAGTTCTACTATACAAAAAAATAATCATTACTGCAAGCATCTTACTGTAATAAATAATCTACCATTGAATCAATAAATCTTACGTGAACTAGATCCGAAAATGCGCAGTTCTAACTACAATTAAGACTTTTAGTTTGACATTATTGGATTTTTGGAATAAGCCTTTGATTTTCACATGATTGCTCTTACAAATATTAAATTTTATTTAAATATTTGTATAATATATCTTTCTTTATGACTGACTGGCTCTTCCCTCTTAGTATAGTTTAAACTCACCTGTCAGTCACCATCTTACAAATCTAATATTTGTTTCCTTTTGCTATTAATCAGTATTTTGTCCAAGTGATTTCAATCTCTTGCTCTATGCAGTGATTTCTAGCTTTTGATCAGCTTTTAAAAATTGACTGATTAATACATTAAAAAATAAAATTCTCAAATATTAAAGTATTTTGAAAATCAAATATATTTATATACAATTGGATTTTTTCCTACCTTAACTTTCACTAATGGAGTCATTTGAAGGTGGCCTGCCCAATCAGGTGGCCTGTAACTGAGTAATTTATATGAATTAATCCTTGTGTGTTGGCATCTGTGATTCGTTGTTGCAAGCAGTAGATGTCTTCTTAAATGATTGATCTTCACCTGGCAAATTAGAGCCTTTACTTTGAATGCAATCATCATGACATTAACATAATTGTTAATTACCTGTTAAAAAAAGAATTTATAAACATTTTATTAATTATTACCAAATACATTACCAAAAACATCATCATTCTTATCACTCCAATGTACCTATTTAAGAATATAAAATTTTTTTAAATGATTAAATTTTCCATTTTTATTAAATTAAAAATATTTGAAATTCGAAATTTTAGCTGGGTCCCTAAGAACCCACGGTAGCCACAGTGCAATTCCAGTACCAACATATCTAATTCTCACACGAGGATTGTTCAAGGAGAAGAGCAATCTGACTTCATTTAAAACCTGACTAAGGGTCTACAGTGCAAGAAGCAGGGACAATGCTCTTGACCAAATGCTTAGCTATAAATATAACTTTAAACATTTTCATGTTACTACATTAGGATAGGCCTAGACTCAG